GTACGGGACGCTCGCGTACGGGACCAACTTATAAACGTCTCGTCCGCGAAAGACGTTGCGCTCGTAGCTTGCATTTCAGCCCTCCAACTGAAACACAAGGAGGAGCAGAGCAGATGGGAATTGAACCGGGGACCAGAGATTTCCACGGTTCAACGCACGTACAGTGGCTACCATCAGTTTACCCAACTGAGCTAAGCTCAGAGTGCATAGAAACATTGCAGTGTGTTAGACATAGGCTAATGCGCTATATAGAAATGGAAAATTCATTTTTTTTTTATGATTCACTAGTTTATTTCCACCAAAAAAAAAAAAAAGATGGAAAAACCCCTAAAATGAGTAGTAATTTTGATAATTAGTGACCTATTTGAAAACTCCGATGATAAACGGAACGAGACAGTTATGGATTTCTTTCATGTAATATTAATAAGAGATGACAATGATATGATTCACCTTTAACTTTAGACCTAATTTTAAATACAGTAGAGCCCTATCATTAGGGGGGGGGGACACTTTCGGGACCAAAAAGTGTCCCCTTAATAGTGTTAATTTGGTCGTAGTTTTACAAGATATAATTTCCCTCGTTCAATTCTTGGCCGAACAAGTGTCCCATTAGGCTAAGACGTCACATGTGTCCCCTTAATTAAGGGGTGTCCAGCAGGGATTGTTTAGGCCTACGTGATTTGGGACGCCGTAAGTGGTTCACCATTACGCCGAGAAACTATAACATGTTTTCATATTTTTGTTTATACTGTACATAGAAAAAATTGGGATTTGATGAAAGTTTGATAAATTGATCACGTGATAATTCCAAGCCTTCATATAGTTGTCAATACGTTTTTAGTTAATTCTTGAAATACTGTATATGCTTAACGTTTATTCGATAGACCAAATATTGTTTATTCTTAATTACTAGTTCATTAAGGGGAAGGAAGATATTCAGACGAATAAACGTTCTGAGGGGAAATTACAGGGTTCAATGGCTGACCCACAACCTTGACCGTGTTGTAATCAAGATTAACGTAATCCTTTACACCCAAAGTTTTTATTTAAAATAGGTTTTAACTAGTTGATTGAGGATATATTCTATTAAAAAAAAGTTGCTGAAAGACAACCGT